CGTGCTCAAGTAAAAAGATGGCAGAACAGGGTTTAGGAGAAATAACAATTCATTAAGTGAAACAATGGAGAGAAAGTCGTGGAGAGACATGATTGCCTACATCCTGAGGGGACATGCCACATAAAGAAGAAGAGAAATATATTTTGGAACAAGATCTCAAACGTAGAGAATCCTTGGAGGCTCAAATTCATTACATAGCAATAATGGTTGATTAATATACCACGCTAACACAAAGGGGTGCCACATATTTTTTTCAAGCTAAGATAATTTTAAGATCACAAATCCGGGGAAGTTAGGTAGGATTGAACTTATTCCATATATATATATATATATATATATATATATATATATATATAACCTTCCGCTAAGATAGATCACCACCCCCTGACGCTGTGCTGACTCAAGAAATTTTGATCTTTCTCATCCGAATATATGAGTAACGACGAATTTCTAGGGAAAATGGAAACCAAAAGGAAAAATTATACTTAACATCAGGAAGAGACAGTTTAAATTTTTAGGGCACATAATGAGGAGAGTGGGTTTGGTAAATCTGATACTCACAGGACAGATTGAAGGCAAGAGGGACAAAGGGAAACAACGCATAACATACTTAGTGAGCCTAATGGTAGAACATGGTTAAGGCGCAATAAAAAATTATTAAGCGCTAAAAAGGACAGGAAATTTTGGCGAGACATTATCACCTACTTCCTGAGGGGAGCGGCGTATGAATACTACTAATAATAATAATATTAATAATAATGGGCACTCACATGAAAATCAACCTTGTGGGGAGATGGATAAATGCCAGATCAAAGCGTAGTAACAGTTATCCTTCCTAAACTATGGGAAGATTCCAGACATTGCTGTTGGATACTGATGTTAATGTGACAGTAATCGCAGGGTCTTAGTAATTTTTGTCCTTGTATATGACCCCGCATCAAACCGACCTTTTATCACATCCTATCACAGTGGAGAAGCTGGTAAATAGATATGAAATAAGCGTGTCTGCTTGAATAAATATTCTGCTGCGTAATTTTTATTCCCGAAACTAAATAATAGTTCCGCTGAGAAAATTATATGCAAGATAATAATTTCATGAAGAGAGCGTATAATTTGAAAAAGCCAGTAATCCCAATTACTCAGACACAACGATTGTCCTATACTTAAACAATAATATTAATAATAATGGCTGCTTGCATCCGAGGATGTCTCTACTAGGGCGGTAGAGCGAGTTTCGAAGGAACAGAAAAATAGATAGTGGAAACAAAGAAGAGATTTTAAATACTCATATACAGAACAGAAATACTTGAGTACATCAAATACTACTCAAATCCTACTTTAATGTGGCTACTTGCCATATTTATAAGTAGGAGCAGTCCATTGTCGCAGTCGTAGGGAAGAACAGGAAGTTCGCTGAGTTTATTGCTTTAATTGGTTATATTTGCAACTTCACCTGTAAAGTGATAAGACCTAGCTGTCAATCTAGTATTGCTCTTAAATTTGTAACGTCGAGGTGCCAAAGAGAAATGTCCATCGGAACAAGTACCATAAAATTATATATAATGTTAGTCTTTATTCAAAGCAGCCGAGAACTAGGAAGGCCGTAATTAGAGAGATAATCGAAGGAACGGAAGGGTAGGTAGAGGAAGCAAAGAAGAGGTTTATTAGATACTCATAAATAGGAGTTCAAAATAGCCGAGGATTAGGAAGGCCGTAGTTAGAAAGAGTATCGAAGGAACGGAAGAGTAGGTAGAGGAAACAAAGAAGAGGTTTATTACATACTCATAAATAGGAGTTCAAAATAGCCGAGGATTAGGAAGGCCGTAGTTAGAAAGACTATCGAAAGAACGGAAGAGTAGGTAGAGGAAACAAAGAAGAGGTTTATTAAATACTCATAAATAAGTGTACAAAATAGCCAAGAATTAGGAAGGCCGTAGTTAGAAAGACATCGAAGGAACAGACGAGTATGTAGATAAAAACAAAGAAGAAGAGTTTTATTTATACTCATGCATAGAACGGAAAGACTTGAGTAAATCAAATACTTCTCAAATCCGAAGGAAAATTTAGAAGGAAAATTTGCAAAAAAAACAAAACAAAAAAAAACAACCACAAAAAATTTAAACAATGAAAAAAAGAAAAGTGAACATTATTTAAAGATAGAATATATATAGTGGTGAGCAAAAGGGGCTCCAGAAGATGTGGGTTACATACTGGGGAGATAAAAAAAGGGAAACAAGCGTGGAAATTCAGTTATTTAGGCAAACGATAGAAAACATCGCACAGAAGGCTGAAAAGTGGGCTTAAAGTATCAAGGGCTTCAAAAATTCACATCAGAAAATCAAAACTGTCTTTTCTACAAGTATTTTCATGGCAACTGCTCTGAGGAGCTACTTTCACTGGTTCCCAAACCGTATGAATTTAAGCATGCTACTAGGTTGGTATCCCATCCCACCCTTTCATTGTCGAAACGATTAAATGTAGCCATTTCTTCTACTCTAAAAGCTTCTTATCTCGCACTTCCAGACAGTGGAACTCACCCTAACTTGCTTCCCTGGTGGCTATAATCTTCAAATATTCAAATGTAATGTCAATCGACATTTTCTGATGCTTGATCTTGATCTCTGTCCTTCTCTATATCCTTTCCTCAAACACCCCTTTTTACTCTGGCTCTACTCTCCGTAACCCCATGCGTGTTGGTGGGACTCCCGCCTTGCTTGGGGTTCTCTGCTTATATGCTTAAAAACAAAAAAACAAACAAAACAAAACAAAAAACAACTATGACCCTCTATGGAAATGAAAGAAGGACAATTTCATAAATAAAAAAAAAAGATTTTTGTTGTTTTTGTTTAGCAACATATCAACATCTATGCCGAAATCTGAAAAAATGAACACAATTATATAGCTTCAAGTAAATAAATTTTGAATGCAGTTCTACGCCTTCAAGTTCAGATAAAACTTTCGTTGGTCATTTTAATATATATATATATATATATATATATATATATATATATATATATATATATATATATATATATTATTGATAATTTTAATAGAAAAGTATTGCTGGTATTTTTACTATAAAAATGTATCCGATATGAGGTATTGTAATTATTTGCACCATTAACATTGTTTGGACTGTTGTCCTCATCTTTGTTAAACATATTCACGATGTTTCGGCTGTTGCAAAAATTTCCCGTAGACCCCGGAAAAACAGAGTCGGGTCTACGGGGAATTTTTGCAACAGCCGAAACATCGTGAATATGGCAACAAAGATGAGGACAACAGTCTACCACCCTAGACGAGACTTTGCTTTTCAGTACAGCCTTGTTTGGGTTCCTCTCTGCCCGGAGACAGAGAGTTTGACCAGCACACTTCCGAAGTAATCCGGAGAGTGATCAGCTAGAAAAAAACTATTTTTCCACTTAGTTCAGTTATGTGCCATGTGTGATACACGCTTAGGCGATCATGTATCTTTTGACAGATGACTAACGAAGCAGATTTTTCCCGGAGTAGATTGCCATTTCTTTCTGCGGTAGACCAGTTGCCATCCACGGCTATAGAACCTGGTCTGTCCTGCTATTTACCCATATCTTGGGGTGGGGGGAAGAAGAGGATTCATACCTTTCCCAAGGGTATTAGTACATAAGTGAATGGAATGAAATTCGGACTCGGCTCTCTGATTCCTCAATCCAAGTCGCTATCCATTATTCCACAGTGTTAGTAGTTTTCACAATTACAAAAACTCTACCAAATAACTTGAGAACTTTCAACAGCAGCAACAACTAAAATGGATAGCAAATGTAACTCGAAAAGGAATAATGGTATAATCAAGATGTCGACGCTTCATATTACTTAAAAAAAAAACAATACTGAAAAGAGCGATAACAGCTTCTGAACTTGAAAAACCTAATTTCTTGAAGAATTTTTTTCATTGAAAGGTTTTATAAATTTCAGCCGACGGTAACACTGGCTGCAATTCTTACTAATTAATCCATATCTGGGGGGTGAAGAGGTGAATGCTTACCTTTCCTAGGTGTATTTGCTCGTAAGTGAATATAACGAACCCAAAGCCCCCAATCTTCCGATCATGTAGTTTATCGTCATATCTCAGCCGGATAGATAGATAGATAGATAGATAGATAGATAGATAGGAGATTTTTGCCTGCTTGGCAACGCTTTGCTTTTAATGGGTTCATTATTTATACTAATTGTATTTTCACCTTAATTGTAACTGGTCGCATAATTTGGAGAGCAAGTGACGGCATGTGTAGAATGATTCTCTTATGTTGTAGTTTTTCCTTATAGATTCTTCCTCAGATATTTAGATTTCGGCATTAAATAACCCATGTAAGTGTTGATATACCGTTAAACAAAAACAACCAACCAACCTTATAAGGAAACAGCTAATATTATCATTACTTATTTTTATTTTGATTATATCATGTCATGTTAAGGCATGTTGGCTAACTCGAATTGTAAAAAATGAATGTGACAGTTGTTGTAGCGATTGGGATATTCGCAAGAAGTTTTCCAATGTGGCTGGAAGAATTGGCAAACTGAGGTAGAATCTAAAACGAAAAACTATAACAGAAGAGAATGAAAGCACTCCAAGCAAGGCCACAAGCACACAAAGGGGTTACAGAGTGTGAGAGCAAAAGTAAAGAGGCGTGTTTAAGGGAAGGATAAGAAGAAGAAGAGGGAACTAGATCAAGGCATTAGAAGATGTCGATTGACATTACGTTTGAATATTTGAAGATTATAGCTATCAGGGAAGGAAGAGGAAGGGAGTTCCACTGTCGGGAAGTGCGAGATAAGAAGGTATTTAAATAGAAGAGACGGCTGCATTTAATCGTTTCGACAGTGAAAGGGCGGAGCGGAGATGTCTAATAGCACGCTTAAATTCATGTAGTCGGGGTACCAGCGAAAGTAGCTCGTCGGAGCAGTTGCCGTGAAAATACTGGTAGAAAAAAAGAATGAACCAAATAAAAACAAAGCTTTAGCAAGCAGGCAAAATCTCCTATCTATCTATCTATCTATCTATCTATCTATCTATCTATCTATCTATCTTCCTCAGTCTGTCATTATCTATCTATCTATCTTCCTCGGTCTGTCATTATCTATCTATCTATCTATCTATCTATCTATCTATCTATCTATTCAGTTCTTATTCATATCTATCTATCTATCTATCTATCTATCTATCTATCTATCTATCTGGCGTAGGTATGACGGTAAACTACATGATCGTCAGATCACCTCTTAACGCTGTTCCTAAGTCGGCCCTTACTCGGGTTGGTATCACGTACTAGGGTCTCAGCTATGGACAAATAGTTAATCAGTTCAAAACATTATGTAAGTATAAAAATACATTTTGGGGATAAAAATACCAGCAATACATTTTCATAGTAAAAACATTAATTACATTTTTGTAAAAATAATAAAAAAAATTACCAGCATTAAATTTTTGAAAAAGAAAATGACCCATAACGAGTTGATTTATCGCTAAACAAACATCTATCTATCTGTCTATTCCTTTCTTATTCATATCTATCTATCTATCTATCTATCTATCTATCTATTCCGTTCTTATTGATATCTATCTATCTATCTATCTATCTATCTATCTATCTGTCAAAGGTGAAATTGCTGTGTATGTGGGAACACTCTCCCGTGAGGTTGCCTCTGATTGAGCATGTGTCCCAATGTCATTTTCTGATGGGTTATTTTATAAAACATCGCGTCAACAAATATGGTTTCTTGCGATTTCAGTTTTTTTTTTTTTTCACTCAGTTTTGAATCTCGTAAACGAACAATAAAATAAAGCGCGATTAAGTAGCTAATAACGACCCCGAAACAAGCTTGGCAGACTGTTTTGAAATGTGAAATATACGCTTTGATAAGAGTCTGGGGATACAAGAGAAGCAAGGGGAAATGAACTTAGGTAACACTGCATTAGATAAGCATTTTTTTTCCTGTTAAGCTTAAATAGTTGTATACTTTTGGTACTGACCTCGCAAATATCTGGGAATTAAGCAACAGAAAAGATGCATTCCAAAAGCTAAGCAAAGTACTAAGAAACAGGAAAAATTTATGAGAAAAAAAGGAAAAAAAAAGGGATGGACTATTATGTATTGTGAATCAGCTACAACGACTATTTGGACGGTCAGTGAATCATCGCTTACGATAAAAGTCTTTTTTTCAACCACAGATTTTAACTGTGCCCTATTTAAAAGTCTTTTCAAAACTACAGCGCTTTCAGTGTGCCGATTAACATAAAAAGACCTTAACTCAACTAAAGACCATTTTTATTATTTTTAGTCCTTTCGAATTCATGTCAATATGTTTGCAAATAAAATGATTTATTTAACAGCCATACCTACGTCTTCTTTATTTTTGTTTTATTATTGTGTGAAATTTGGACGTTCAGATTTTTAATATTAAAAATTATGGACGACCGAATTTCATACAGTTTAATTGTATCGCGTGTCTCTGCGTGGGTCTGTCGCGGATATTTATCGCAAGTGTTTATGAATTTTGAAGAGCTCTTATGCTTTAATGAAAATGTTTTGTCCTTGTAGAAAAGTGTTTTTTTTATTTTATAATTTGTAAAGGATAGGCAAAATAATTGCTGGTTAGGAAAGATAAATGTGTCAATTGCTTCACGTATGAGTGATTTTTCAATAAAGGTCCCTCTCACTCGAATAAACATATCTCCTAAATGTTCAATTTCTAAATAAGCATCTTAACGTTTATTCGATGAATTTATATATATAGAAAGTCCTCTGGTAACGTCGGAACCGACGTGAGGTGTTTCGTGGTTACGGCGCCATATCCCATAATATAATACGTCGTCACGCGGCGCTATATGAGAAAGACGGCGTTGTTTCTTCACCGGCTGTACGCCATATTAGATTGTGCTGCATTCACTATCTCTCGTTTGTGTCATTTTGGGGGAAACATTTTACCCTTCATTATGGATCTCAAGCGTAAGGCAGACTCGTGGGTGCTTTTGTAGATGAGTTCCTACCTGCGTCGAAAATCAGATTACGCCGCGCCGTACGAACGAATCTCCGACGTAAGTTGAGGACCCCCTGTATATATAATTAGTAGAAGTAAAAGGTTTGTCACTTAACTTATTAATGTTACCTTATATTCTCAAGAATTAATGAATTTATTTTTAATCCGACATTTTTATTACTTCAAACCGTTATTATTTAGTGGATACTTCGTATTTGAAATAGACGCCCCATTTTTATTTATTAAACAATGTATATTACGTCTCTAGGCCGACGTGCTAGAGAAATTTTAATAAATAAAACGTAAGGATAGAGTGGAAAAGCATGCCGGATCAAACGATAGTTTCCCTTACAAAGGGGACCGCAGGTTCGATTCTTGTCGGAGGACACAATTATTTTACTAAGATTTTTCAAATGAGCCGGCCGATAGATGTAATACACTGTTTAATAAAAATAAAAAAAAATCGGTGTCTATTTTAGATACAAAGTGTATAGAATACAGATAATCTGCTCTCCGATTAACAATGGCGAGCCATTATCAATTAAACCACAAGCACATCCAAGTTTACAGCACCTGGTATTCACATGCTGTCACCTATCTAGGGTCGACATTGGTTTGGTTTGGTTTACGGCATATCAATCTCAATGGGTTATTTAATGCAATTTTTTTCCTGGTAATATTTTGTTTTGTCAAAAATCTATTTCTAGTAATATTTTTTCTTTCAAAAATGTATTGCTGGTAATATTTTTTTTCAATGACGTATTGCTGGTAATGTTTTTTTTCAATGATGTATTGCTGGTAATATTTTTTTTAACGATGTATTGCTGGTAATATTTTTTCTTTCAAAAATGTATTGCTGGTAATATTTTTTTCAATGATGTATTGCTGGTAATATTTTTTTTTCAATGATATATCGCTGGTAATATTTTTTTCAAAAACGTATTGCCGATAATATTTTTTTCATAAACGTATTGCTGGTAATATTTGTTTTTCTTCAAAAGTTTATTGTTGGTAATAATTTTTTGCAAAGTATTTCTGGTATTAAAACCTAATTTTACACTTTCATACTGTTTTTACCCTAGTTTAGGGGTTAACTATTTGCCCATAGCTGGGACCCTAACAGGTGCTACCACCCCGGGTCAAGGTGGACCTGGAAACACCAGCAATTAAGAGGTGGTTCCACGTTCGTCAAAACCTCCTGATCAGAGACCTTGCTGTTGGACGTAGTTTATCGTCTTACCCAGGACGCGGATGTAGTTTATCGTCATACCCAGGACGGAGGATCGACGTTGCTTAATCTATGTGATCTTACAGGAACCGGTTTTTCAACGGGATATGACCGTAAGCCTTCAATCATCGGTGTTCGAACAGAGCATGAAATTGTGCAGATATTTGACATACTAAAATCTACGGTGAAACGTGTGTGCTGGAAATATCTGCCTTGACCGGCTTAGGTCCTTAATAACCATGACAAGAAGCATTTGGTTAGAATTGTCTGCGGTAACAGACAAGCGATATTAGCCCATAATCGCGTCGACCTTCAATGAAGAAGTTACCAAACACATATCCAGCGATCGTTTAAGCGCTTTTTCGCTTCCCTGAAATACGAGAGCGGAAACCCACTAGGATGCTCAGAAAATCGTATTCAGAACCTGGGCTCGTAATGTTTCTAACTTGAACCTGGAGGACAGGAAATGTGGTGTAGTCACTTGTTTCGGGCTTATGGTTGGGTCTTGGTGTGGCACATCTTTCACGTGGACATGGGCCAAAAGTGTCACTTGGGCAGCGTGCAGCAGGGTCTATATTGCTGTGTTCACGGGGAATGAGTCGGTCCGCTTAAGTATACCGTTGATCGTTAAATGCTTTGTTGCATTGCTTTTGTGACAATTTGCATTAATTCATAAACTCTACGCAACTCAAGAACTGTTATTTCCACAGGATAATGCACCATGTTATCAAGTTCGTTGCCCAGAAATGGTCCGAGAAGCATTCTGGAGAATTCTGACGAATGGTGTAATCACCATGTTCGCGTAACACAAGCCCAATCGGGACGTTGTGGAGAGGTCTGTTTGCACGTAAGACCCTTCAGCTACACTTAGAGAAATGTGGACAGCTGTCGAGCTGGCATGGCTGAAGATCGTTTGTGGAACGCACCTTCGAGTTGGAGGTGTTCGCCAGGATAGAGGGAATCTTATATGACTTTAGTAATGACTTTTGGCACGTCAGGGTATATATTCATTTTAATCTTTGAAAAAGGATGCAAACGAAATACAAGCGAAATGTGTCAGATTCTGGAAATATGAAGAAAATGTATTTTAAAGATAACGTGGCAAGCAACAATAAAGCAAGAGTTTCTGAGAAGGGAGTAAAAAAAACAATAATAAGATGATAGATGCTGCATCCATTCTTCGAAGAAAATCTAAGTTAACGATGTGAATCTTTTTTCTTTTTTTTTTTTGAATTAGCCAACCAGATGTCAGTGTCAGGACGCTGAGTAGTTAATTTGATTTCACTTGGAAAATTGAGACACCATTCTAAATCTAAGGCGGCTCTCCAAATTTGATGGCGATCAAATCACAATAATTTGGAGATTTTTACCACAAATACAAACGTACGCGCGTGCTCTCTCACACACAGACATACATAAATTTAAATTATAGGGATTTATGGTCCAACCACACTATTTTTCTAAGTATGTTTGGGACATCAAGGAAAAAAAATAAAGAAAGAAAAACGAATAGCTACCTTTTGGTTGTGTGGAAAATATTAAAAAAAAAGGTCAGTCAGTTAAGTGCTATACGTGATACCGACGTGAGCTATCATATCTCTTTACATTCATGACTGACTGAGAAGATTTTCCCGCAGTAGGTTGCGTTTCTTTCTGCAGTTATAGAACCTGGTCTGTCCTGCTATTTACCCATAGCTGGGAGGGAGAAGAAGAGGACTCATACATTTCTCAAGGGTATTCGCACGTAAGTGAATTTCAGTCAGTTAGGTGCCATGCGTGATACAGGCTTAGACGATCATGTATCTTTCGATACATGACTGACGAGGAAGATTTTTCCGGCAGTAGGTTGCCATTTCTTTCTGCAGTAGACCAGTTGGCATCCGAGGCTATAGAACCTGGTCTGTCCTGCTATTTACCCATAGCTGGAGGGGAGAAAAAAGGACTCATACATTTCCCAAGGGTATTAGCACATAAGTGAATTTCAGTCAGTGATGTGCCATGCATGATACAGGCTTAGGCGATCATGTATCTTTCGATACATGACTGACGAGGCAGATTTTTCCCATCTCGGCCTCAGTCACTTTCGCACTGACGTCATGTGGCTTCCCTCGGCCTTTTCTGCAAATATTTTCATGCAAACTATTCTGGTGTGCTTTTTTCAGTGGTTTCAACTACATAAATTTAGGCATGCTACTAGACAACTAGGGCTCATCATTTTACCGTTAAACTAGGTAGACACAACCACCATTTCTACTCCAACAGTTTCTTTTCTCACACTTCCCACCTGTGGAATTTCCTTCTGATTTCTTGCTTCCCTGATAACTACAATCTTCAAAAATTTAAATGCATCATCAGTTGCTATCTTTTGTCTTCTGAAAGCCTATTCTTTTTTTTTTTACTCTTTCCTCAATCCCCCCATTCTCAGAGATCTCTTTCACATTTACTCTATGTAATACCACCATCTATGTCTTAGTGGCATTATTGCCTTGATTGGGATGAAATGATTAAAAGTAAATGTCAAGTTTGAAACTTTGCTTACATCATTGATAAC